GAGGGGGCCTGGGAGTACGCTTATCCGGTCTACATGTGTTTTGTAGACTTGGAGAAGGCGTATGACCGAGTTCCCAGGGAGTTACTGTGGGAGGTGCTGCGGGAGTATGGGGTGAGGGGGTCTCTACTCAGGGCCATCCAATCTCTGTACTCCCAAAGCGAGAGCTGTGTCCGGGTCCTCGGCAGTAAGTCGGACCCATTTCCGGTGAGGGTTGGCCTCCGCCAGGGCTGCACTTTGTCACCAATACTGTTATATACATGGATCGGATTTCGAGGCGTAGTCGTGTGGTAGGGGGTCTGCAGTTCGGTGGACTAAGGATTGCACCACTGCTTTTTGCAGATGATGTGGTTCTAATGGCTTAATCGGTCTGCAACCTTCAGCACTCACTGGATCGGTTCGCAGGCTGGGATGAGGATCAGCACCTCCAAATCTGAGGCCATGGTTCTCAGTAGGAAACCGATAGACTGTCCACTTCAAGTAGGGAATGAGTCCTTACCCCAAGTGAAGGACTTCAAGTATCTCGGGGTCTTGTTCTCGAGTGAGGGAACAATGGAGCGTGAGATGGGCCGGAGAATCGGAGCAGCGGGAGCGGTACTGCAGTCGCTTTACCGCACCGTTGTGACGAAAAGAGAGCTGAGCAGGAAGGCAAAGCTCTCTGTCTACCGGGCCATTTTCGTTCCTACCCTCACCTATGGTCATGAAGGATGGGTCATGACCGAAGGAACGAGATCGCGGATACAAGCGGCCGAGATGGGTTTTCTCCGCAGGGTGGCTGGTGTCTCCCTTAGGGATAAGGTGAGAAGTTCAGTCATCCGTGAGGGACTCGGAGTTGAACCGCTCCTCCTTCGCGTCGTTCGGGCACCTAGTAAGGATGCCACCTGGGCGCCTCCCTAGGGAGGTGTTCCAGGCACGTCCAGCTGGGAAGAGACCAAGGGGTAGACCTAGGACCAGGTGGAGGGATTATATCTCTTCGCTGGCCTGGGAGCGCCTTGGGATCCCCCAGTCAGAGCTGGTTGATGTGGCCAGGGAAAATAAAGTTTGGGGCTCTCTGCTGGAGCTGCTACCCCCGCGACCCGACCACGGATAAGCGGGAGAAGATGGATGGATGGATGTATTGATTTCACTGTGAAATTCTAAATTACAGTATTATATTGTGAACATTACAGGTAAAGACTGTAAAGTGGTAAAACAGTAATTTATTGTAAAATATTACAGCTAAATATTGTGAAATCATGGTAATATTTTACAGTGTATTTAACAAAAAAGTGTTAAAAAATCCAGAATATGATTTGTATTTGATATTCTTCAAAGTAGCCCCCTTTTGCCTTGATGACAGCTTTGCACACTCTTGGCTCCTCTCAGTCAGCTTCATGAGGTCGGCACCTGGAATGGTTTTCAATGACGTGTGCCTTGTCAAGAGTCAATTTGTGGAATGACTTGCCTTCTGAATGTGTTTGAGACCATCAGTTGTGTTGTGCAGAGGTAGGGTTAGTGCACAGTAGAAAGCCCTATTTGACTACTGTTCAAGGTTCTTTGTCAAACGAACATAGCTACAGTGTAGTTATGTCAATGAAAATCTTATATAGTGCAAGTAAATAGTAAATACAAGAAGAAAAATAGTTTAAAAAAGTGAAATAGTGCAATAAGAGTCTATATGCAAGTCATTGAAACATGATATATTAGGTAAATAGATAAATAATTTTGCAGTAGCAGCCAGATGAATATTGTGGATGTTGTTTCAACAGTTCAGGTGTTTAACAGTCTTATTGCCTGTGGGATGAAACTGTCCCTGAGTCTGGTGGTTTTAGTCCGGATGCTGCGGTAGCGCCTGCCAGACGGCAGCAGGCAGAACAGTTTGTGGCTGGGGTGATGGTCTTTTATAATCCTGAGGGCTTTCTTCCTGAGCCGCTGGGAGTAACGCCCCGTCTACACTACAGGCATCGAAAAATGCTTTCACCGCTTTGCCCATTCACTTGAATGGGGTGACGTAGTTGATTTTGAATCTTCGCCGAACTGCATTGTGGGGAGCGGAGCGTGGCTTTGCAAGCATCGTGAGCATCAAAAGTTGAGCAATGTTCAACTTTTGAGGCTCGATGCTTGGCATCAGCCAATCAAATCCCGTTTATGCAAATCCCGCCAGTACAAGCGCTAGCCAATCAAACCGCGTGCAAGCTGGGAGAGCCAGACCGCAGTTCATTTCCTCATATTCCAAACGAGAAATTACGGTAGCAAATCACCCGGTTCTTTACGACCAGAACTATTGACCGGGATAAAAACCGGAGGAACCAGGCATGGAGGGAGGTGGCAGAGACAGTGGGTGAAACTGGTAGGTTTTCGCCTGTTTGGGGATTTTATATCCAGTTTACTTCGTTTTAACATTGCTATTGCTTTGTATGTCGGGGGCGGGAGACTCATGTGATTGGTTGTTGGTTGCCTTGGGCGCGAGAAATCGCCAAGCCTCAGACACGCCCAGCTTCAAGATTTTGTTATGCCTGTAGTGTAGACGGCCCGTAAAGGTCCTCCATGGATGGCAGCTCCGTCCTGGTGATGTTCTGTGCAGTTTTTACCTCTGTAAAGCCTTACGATTGAGGGCGGTGCAGCTACCGTACCAGGCCGTGATGCAGCCAGTCAGGATACTCTCTATGGTGCACCTGTAGAAGTTGCAGAGTATCCTGGAGTCCATGTTGTCCTCCTCAGTCCTCCTCAGCCTGCGGAGGAAGAAGAGCCACTGTCGAACGTTTTTGGTGATGGTGGTGGTGTGAAGAGTACATGTCAGGTCCTCAGTGATGTGGACACCGAGGAACCTGAAGCTGCTGACTCTCCACCATTGTCCCATTGATGGCGATGGGGGCGTGTCCCTCTCTCTGCTGTTTCCTGTAATCCACAATCAGCTCCTTTGTTTAGCTGACGTTGAGATGGAGGTTGTTATCCTGGCACCAAGATGTCAGGTTTTCGACCTCCTCTCTGTACGCCGTCTCGTCAACGTCTGTGATCTGGCCGATGACGGTCGTGTCGTCAGCAAACTTCACGATGGTGTTGGAGCTGTGTGTGGCTACGCAGTTGTGTGTGAACAGGGAGTAGAGGAGAGGGCTGAGCATGCAGCCTTGAGGGGCTCCGGTGTTGAAGATCAGGGTGGAGGATGTGATGTTTCCCACCCGCACTGCCTGGGGTCTGCCCGTCAGGAAGTTCAGGATCCAGTCACAGAGGGCGCTGTTGAGCCTGAGGTCTCTGAGCTTGATGACCAGCTTGGAGGGCACAATGGTATTGAAGGCTGAACTGTAATCAATGAACAGCATTCTCACATATGTGTTCCTCTGGTCCAGGTGTGAGAGGGCAGTGTGGATGGTGAGGGCTATGGCGTCGTCTGTGGACCGGTTTGCTCTGTAGGCAAACTGCAGGGGGTCCAGAGAGTCAGGGAGGGAGGAGGTGATGAAGGTTTTGACTAACCGCTCAAAGCACTTCATTATGATGGAGGTGAGTGCTACTGGGCGGTAGTCGTTGAGGCTGGTGATTTCTAATCCATATTATGGCAAGAACCACTCAACTCAGTGAAGAGAAACAACCGTCCATCATCACTTTAAGAAATGAAGGCCAGTCGATCCGGAAAATGTCAAGAACTTTGAATTTATCCTCAAATGCAGTCACAAAAACCATCGAACGCTATGATGAAACTGGCTCTCATGAGGACCCCCCCCCCCCCCGGGAAAGGAAGAGCAAGAGTTATCTCTCATGCAGAGGATAAAAACACGAGAATTACCAGCCTCAGAAAACACAAATTAAAGCACCTCAGATTAGAGCCCACATAAATTATCACAGAGCTCAAGTAGCAGACAATCTCAACATCCAATGTTCAGAGGAGACTGCGTGAATCAGGCCTTCATGGTCCAATTGCTGCAAAGATCCACTACTGAGGATGAACAACAAGAAGAAGATAATTGTTTGGGCCAAGAAACACAAGGATTGGACATTAGAAAGTGGAAATCTGTACTTTAGTCTGATGAGTCCAAATTTGAGATTTTTGGTTCCAACGTCTGTGTCCTTGTGAGACGCAGAGAAGGTGAGCGGATGGTTTCTGCATGTGTGGTTCCCACCGTGAAGCACGGAGGAGGAAGTGTGATGGTGTGGGGGGGGGCTTTGCTGGTGTCAATATTGGTGATTTATTCAGAATTCAAGGCACTCTTAACCAGCATGGCTACCACAGCATTCTGCAGTAGCCAGCAAATATAAATCATATTCTGGATTTTTTAACACTTTTCTGTTTACTAGACAATTCCATATGTGTTCTTTTATAGTTTTGATGTCTTCAGTATAAATCTACAATGTAGAAAACATTTCAATAAATAAAAAACTTAGAATTTGAAGGTGTGTCCAAACTTTTGACTGGTACTGTGTATAAAAACTTAAAGGTGGGTAGGTAAGTTTGAGAAACCGGCTCGAGATACGCTTTTTGTTATATTCCATGGAATGCTCTTAACATCCCGATGGCAATGAATATCTTAAGTACTTTGACAAAAAATCCATTAAAACATTTAATCTGTGGAAGCCGTAGTACTGTAAAAAGCACGACCAATCATTTTAGCCGGCCCGGCTAAAATAACTGGAGGCCTACCTGCCTGTCAGCCTTCCATCTGTGCACAAACTTATCTCGTGCCCTCATTGGTCATGTGCGCGTTTGTGTGTGTAGGAGGAGGGGCTCTGTAAGGAAGTGGCAGATTTTTTCCGGTTGTGTATTTTCAAATTCTAACGCACTCGAGCTGGTTTCTCCAAAATTGCCTACCCCACCTTTAAAGGGGGGATGTGATATATAAAAATAGGTGTGATAAGATGGTATTTCATGTAAACATTACATTTTCATGTAAACATATAAGATAAGGTATTACAAATATTTAATTATTATAAATACAAAATAATATTGTGTTAACTTGACACTTCAAGCCTAACTATAAGCTTGCAAAATATGTGTATTTAGGTCTTTAGTGTTTTCTCCTTTGTTTCCACAGTGCCATAAAAGGCAGAGGAGCCAAAGTGCGCACAGTAAAACAACATGAGAGCAAAGTGAGTTGGTCGATGGCCACTGTATAATTTGCCCTACTGATTTGAAGAAAAATTGTATTACCAATAGGCGCTTTCACATCGCAGTACTTTTCCCACAAAGGTTCATCAGAACTTAGTTCATGAGAACTCTTTAGTTCTCATGAACTAAGTACAGATCGCGTTCACACCGGAATAAATCCCTGGGGGAGGATTAGGCAAATGAAGCCGCTGACGTCACTTCTTCTTCTTCTTCTGCTTTGGGTGTACTGGCAGGCCGCAAACAACTTCACGGCGTATACTGCCACCCGAAGTCCCCGGACGGAAGTCCCCGGAGTTGGGGACTGGCTTCAGTAGAAGCTGCTGGGACTCCCAGCAGCTTCTACTGAAGCCTTCCGAGTAAATCGCCAGAACGCCGACACCTCCTCATCTCCACCACTCCCATGTTTTCTTTTGTGTTGCCATAAGTTAGTCTCTCTGCGTTTGTGCGCTATGCCATTGCGATAATAAAATGGCGGCTTCACAAAACTTTTTGGGAGTTTTACGGGGCGTGGTTTGCCATCCGCCCAGCCAATCAGAAATAGGAACCTTTTTCTCCCACGAAAGTTCCTGCTCTCTAGAAAAGGGGGTAAAAAGGTTCTCATGAACTAATTTTAGTTCCGGATTTGTTTGGTGTGAACGCAACATTTCGGAACTATATCGGAACTAAAGTGGGAAAAGTACTGCGGTGTGAAAGCGCCTAATGTGATAAAATGTTTGAATGATGAACGTTTTCTTATCCTCTGTTTTGTTGAAATCCAGAAAGGTTCGTCTAATGAGAACACAGATTCTCCCAACCTGTCAGCTATAGACAGAGCTAGCTTCCTGGAGGGACTGCAGCTAAACTATGGTAAGTCAGCTATATCATTATAAAGTGTGTGTCACTATTTCATTTAAAACACACTATTTGTTTTCGAGGGGTTTAATAGGTTGGCACATGGAGTATAACTAGCAACAGTAACAAATCTGAGAAATACCTAAAAATGCAAAGAAAAGCAAATTTAACAGATTATGATTTGAAAATAAAAATGCAATAAAAGTATCATAGTGCAGTAAATACAATTCTCTCTGTTAGTAAAGATAAAAGGAATAAACCATTTGAATTTAATAACTTTTTAATTCCAAGGATTTTTGAAAGCCCAACACAGCACTTTCATATGGTTGCTGCATTATAAATTGGAGATTAAACTTAAAAAAAAGACAAAAACAGGATATTATCTCAAACAAGTGGTACATTCCAGAGAAAACATTTACGAGACAAAAACTTGTAAACATACATCACTTGCCTTTCCAAAGTTGGAAAAACCTAATCACACCTAAGAACAATAGACTAACTCTTGTGTTTCCTAGGCAACCCTCTTCACAGCACTGCCTTGGAAGAAGATTTAAACGTTGAGGAACAGGTGAACGGAGGAAAGGCTGGGAAAAAGGAAATTCCTCAGACGTTGAAGGCTGCTGGTAAACAGCGTGGAGCAGAGGAGAAGAGGAAGGAGGTGCAGAGGGATGAAGAGGGGAAGGAGGAAGAGGAGAAGAAAAAGAGGAGGAGTGCTGTAAAGACGTCTGCAGCGAGGTGAGCTCACACAGAAGTTACATCCCACTCACAGAGATCATGATGAATGTCCTGTTCTCCCATTAAAGTATTTATCTGTCTCTGTGTCGACAAGGCCGGAGAAGAATCAGCTGGTGAAGAAAGGCAAGAAGAGAAAGAGCGGGATGTCATGTGACCCCGAGCCACAGGTAAGGATGTGAACCATAAAGACTTTCTCTATTTTTATCCCGTTTTTCAAGTCTATACAATCATTGTCAATAAATATCAATATTCTCTTTACGCCTTCTGTAGTACAATGAAAGCACACATCAATGAATTACAGTTTTTGTGGACAATACAGAGGCATTGACCTTTAAACCAGAGTCCTGCACGGGTCTGATTTTCAAGACCCGCTCCCGCCCCGCACCCGCGACATGCAATACCAAACCCGCCCCGTCACCCGCACATATTGCCAATTAGTTCCGCAAACCGACCCGACCCGTCGGCACAAGATCCGCAAACCGACCCGAACGCGCATATCCTATGAGCAATGAAAACATGCAATTATTATCACACGCAGTTGCATATTTGGTTGAAAAAGCGTGGGATGTTGGTTATGTTCTCCATCTAGGATGACACCAAAAGTCTCCAAGACGTTGGATTTTGCTCTTGAGGAAGAGTTATTGACAATGCTGTATTCTCCGCTAGAGTGCTTCACCTCAGCCATTTTGAATGTGGCGCGCTTAGCAGCAGAGGTTATGATTATGCGCGGTCCCGAGGGGGAGAGGTCTGAGGATTCAAAAATTAAATTATTATTATTTTAATATATTTATTATGCAACACCCGCGACCCGACCCGCATCTTCTTTGTTTTACCCAGAACCGAACCCGGAAAAAAATGTTTAAAAAAATACCACCCGCGAATCACTCTTTTTGCGGGGTACCCGACCCGATGCAGGACTCTGCTTTAAACATGCTATGAAATAAATGATGAACAAGAGCAAGGTTATGGGGGTGTACCTCAATGATACTCAAACCAGGGGGGTATATATACAAAAAAAAAAAAAAAATAGACACAAAAATCAACTTTAGACGAATGATGATTGTACTGGTGTGACATACCTTAACCATCTTAAAAATATGATCAGCAATGAATCCACTCACCCACGGTAGCTTTTCCTGGTTGTATCTGTAAGGGAAACTTCTGTGTAGCAATGCAGTGGGAGTCACCGACTCAGGAAAGAGACACGGGAAGAGCAGGAGCTTTGATGTCAAACACTGATGGTTTATTTAGAGCTTCGGCCGGAGAATTCACATCACAAGTCACAGCAGCCACGATCTGACTGCACGGGAGAGTTGCCGCGTCAATTCTGAAGAACTCTACCCCAGACCCATGTATTTAGCTAGTTCCGAGAGCATCAGCAACATGCTGCATAACAAGATAAAATCATAACCCCTCTATCAGCTGACGTCAACAGGCAGGAACATAGAATCATAACACCTCTATCAGCTGACGCCAACAGGCAGGGACAGGGAGACAGAACACTGAGAGCACAGCAGCCAAGGTTACGAGGTGCGTGCGCTCAGTCAGGACAGTTTGAACTGATAAACTGGGTCAAAGTTATGGGCCTTGGAAAATATTTCCCAAACAGTATCCACATTTTAGTAATGGCTTCTTGGTAGCAGCACTTACTCAATTACTGCCTACAACATCCTCAATCAGTATATAATGCATTTTTGCTGAGCTAGTGCTGGTTAAAAAAAATGTTTTATAAATGTAAATCAATATTACCAGTATTATTCTAAGGCAAATTAATTGTATTACATATTGTAGTGTTAAATATGTTTTCTACGGTAGATTATATATACAAGCTCCTGTCCTTAACAGCTCTTTAACCTCACTTGCCAACTTTGAATTATCATACCTGTCCGCCATGGGACAGTCTGAAAACACGCAATGCATTCTGGGCTGGTTGAGTCCAGTAAGCTTATGTCTCATACGCAGACATTTTTGCTAATGTATTATACATCCATGCTTTCCTCGTGGACGCAAAATCCACATACATTCAGAGTGTATTACATACTCAAATGTACGTCAGTGTCAGTGTCTCCAATACCAAGGGTAGTGTCTGTAGTTTACAATAATTGTGATAATGACGTTGTGAGAGTAGCATTAGATAATTAGGAAGGGAACTTTTTGTATCAGTAATCGAGTTGAAAAGGTATGACGATGAACTGTTTCTTGTTTTTTCCTCCTTAGGAGCCGTCTGACTCTGGTGGCGCTCATCAGCTGTCCTCTGAGGAAGAGGATGGGGGAGAGGAGAGGAGCTGGGTATGGACTAACTCCTGGAGTCAGATACTTGCATCAGCAGCCAGGAATGTCAAATTAAATTGTGACTTTTTCTCATATTATTGACTCAGTGCCCAAGTCCAAAGACGGCCAGGTTCTATCGTTTGGGCAGAAAGTCTTCATCGGAGAAGTCGAAATCTAAGAAGTCTTCATCAGGTAAGAGAAAAAAGTGTTACGTTTCAACCCTGTTAAAAATAATGTTTTGATATTTTGAGAGTAATACTTATGTGCTCTGGTGTCAAGAGATGGATACGAATAATATAATAATATAAAACAGAAATCTTAAAATATGTTTTTTTACGAGATATATTAAAATACTGTAAAAAGAAGATAAATATAAAATATAAAAATTATAATAAAGATAATATTAAATCTTCTAACATACAAAGAAATATATTTAAAAGGTCATATAAAATACTTTAACAATAACAAAAATATATAATAGAAAATGTTCAATAAAAATATGAAAACAATGCTGTAAAAACACTATAATAAGTAAATCAATATAGGATAGGAAAGTAAAATAGAAATGTGAAAAGCTGCTTTTAGAAAAAATATAGAAACAAAACATTCAAATAGAAAACTGAATAAGGTAATATAACAAAAACATAAATATAGAATAAAAAAATACCTATATAAAAACTAGTAACAAATATATAATAGAACATTTACTATATAAATACTGTAAATAGAACATAAATATAGAGAGTAAAAATAAAACTCTAATACTACAACAAATAGGTAAAATAAAACCGTTTTTTAGAATGAGAATTAATAGCACCCTCATATCCAAACCTTTCCTATGAAGCTGGAGCTTGGAGGCCTTTAGCTTAGCATTAGCTAGTTTTTTCCAGTCTTCATGCCAAGCTAAGTTTAGTTAGCTGTTTCCTGGCCGTGGCTTCATATTTAAAATCATATATTTCACAAACATCTGCATCGTTCTTCTCATCTAACTCTCAGCAAGAAAGCATTTTCTTTTAAGGTGATCCATATTCAATATTTGCTGCATTCTGCATCCTCAATCAGTATGTACAGCAAACTGAAAAGCTCTTATTACAAATTCAACCAGTTTGTGACAGTAGTTGAGACTTTTATTTTATTATACATCACAACATATATTGTGCACGAGATCAACGCTAATGCCCCGGATCATTTTTAGGCAGTGCATCTCCTGAACCAGAGACGGCCAGCACTGATAAACAGAAGAGGCAGAGGGGGGGCCAAGGGGGGACACAGTTAGAGGTGGTGCTGGAAGCCTTCCTGGACTTCTGTGACCAGTACAGGTAAACTCCAGTCAAATCATTTCACCACCAACACTCCTTACAGTTTAATACTTTTTATTGCAAGTTTTGCAGTTGAAGAAGTGAACCTTTTGCGTTTGTGTTTCAGGGAGTCTTTGGAGTCCAACACTTTGAAAGAGTGTGTTGATTCTTTCTCCTCCAATGTGGAAAATCAGCTCTTAGAAAAGGTCAGATAACAGAATGTAGTGCAGAGTTACAACCATATTTCTAACTGTTGAGGCATTTTTCATTCACATAAGAAATGACAAAACTGTTGTAAAACAGGAAGACAGTGCTCTGTTTTTTTACAGCTTTTGAATAATTATTATCTTTAGGCAAATATGCATTAATTCCACCGAAGTATTTTTTCCTCATAAAATAAGCGTTAAACATCAAAACAGAGGTGAACAAAAAATGAATTGATATCAGGATTTTAATCAAAGACATATTCTGTACAGGGTTTCCCACACATAGACTACTTGGGTGGGCCGCCCAGGTATATTAACCGCCGCCCAAGTATATTTCGCGACCCATTTAGTTTTTCGTTTTTTTTAATATATTTTTTTTTTTTATTCGTCCGTGACCACGACGCCATCTGCGATCGATTAACTTGTAGACAATGATCCCTCGCTCTACGCCTCCTGTACCCAGTCCCAGACTGGCCATCGGGAGGACCGGGGGGTTTCCCGATGGCCTGGCATGTTAAGTGGCCTGCCTCACACAGGGTGACTGGCTGTCTACATGCTGTCATACAGATCATAAATCAAAGCCCTTGATTGGTCTCTGTGTGTCCTAACCTCAGCTCAGGTGAGGTAAAGGACTCCGAGTGTTTAGATAGTTAACTTAGTCTAAGTTCTCAGTGGGTCTCAAACGGTTTGGTCACCATTGATGTAAACACACATTTCCATTTGAGAGGGGAGTGATTAGTCAAATATGCATGAATAAAAAATAAAAAGTGAACTAGGTGAAAAAAGGCAAGATACACTTTTAAAACTTGTTGAGAGAAAACTAGTCTTTGCTGCTGCCTCAAAGAGGAGAAGGGAGGAGAGGAGGGAGACAGGAGAGGCTGATTCAGGAGCACAGACACACTCACAACTATAAATGAACCAAAAATAAATAAATAAACAAGTTTCAGTGTTTTTTTCATATTGGAAATGGTATGTTATTGGTTATGGCCATGAATTTATGATTATTGAAATGTATACAGTTCTGTTTCATATAGGTGTTTCCATAGATCTAGTCTCTTTATTTTCCCCTCAAAATGCACCAGATTGACGCATTTAAAAATCTTACCGGGGGAGCATGCCCCTGGACCCCCTAGAGGATTTGAGGTCCACCCCCACTTAAAATCACATTGATAGGTTTCTAAATACATTTACCATTTAAAAAAAAAAAAAAAATAGTAACCCATTTCCATATGTTTATATGTGGGTAGTAGATTTAAACTATAGGGCTATCACTATGGTCCCTGCCTGTACCTGTTCGCTCTGCCATCGTGTGAAGGGTCTGCTAACAAGCGACCAACAGAAAGGTTCATGTTGTTGCACGTCACCTCAACCCCCCCGCTACCACCTCCCCCCAAGTATATATTTCAGATCTGTGGGAAACACTGCTGTATATTCTTTGTGTGTTTTTCCCCCAGATCTCTACTTCCAAGGAGCTAAAGGTTTTAAAAAGAGAAAACATAAAGGTAACTATGGCAACCAGCTTTAAGCAATGCTAACAGAATGGCTTTTGCGAAGTTGACCTATCACTTTAGTCCATTACATTTTGCACAAGAGGTCATTGGTTGTTGGCCTTCAGTGACGTGTCGCCCAGGTCCCTCCCACCTGGCGAGTGGAGGATCCGGATTGGTGCGGTACCGGGCATGGCCACCGATAACGCCACTTGGCCCTTGAGACAGAGACTATATTTTTTGAATATATCTTTATTTAACTAAAGAACACCTGGTGTTGTGTTGCTTCCCCTTCCCTTAACGAGCTGGGATGTAACAGAAACTAATCAGATAACAGATTGTTATAGTGGCACAGGCAAGCAGGGGAGGTAACCATTTAAACAAAAATAACTTGTTGTGTTTCTCCCAAGGCTCTGCGCCCTACCTTGCAGTGAGCAAAGAGCAAATCTCTTAAAGCGTCCCATTATGCTTTTTTGGGGTTGTCCCTTTCCTGTAGTTCCTGTGTGAGAGTGGGACCCGTATACAGACATGCGTATTAGCCTTAGCAGCAGAGTCCACTACTCTCCTCCACATAAAGTTACACACACAGTCTGGTGGAAACACTGTTCTGACAGTGTACACACACCCTAACATTACACTATATTATTATACTGTGTTATACCAAGTATTATAGCGTTATACTGAACACCCATTATTTTCCAATAATGAGCATTTCTCCAAGGAAAGTTCTACTCCAACATGACGTTAACATTGTATGGCTTTCAATGAACTGTCTCAACAACTAATGCCATTTATCCCACTCTTGGCACAATTTATCTGAACTTTGGTGATGCTCTGACTCGTCATGTATGCTCTGTATTTCATTATCAGCCCAAAATTATAATTTACATATTGCCATGATCTGTGTGTGTGTGTGTGTGTGTGTGTGTGTGTGTGTGTGTGTGTGTGTGTGTGTGTGTGTGTGTGTGTGTGTGTGTGTGTGTGTGTGTGTGTGTGTGTGTGTGTGTGTGTGTGTGTGTGTGTGTGTGTGTGTGTGTGTGTGTGTGTGTGTGTGTGTGTGTGTGTGTGTGTGTGTGTGTGTGTGTGTGTGTGTGTGTGTGTGTGTGTGTGTGTGTGTGTGTGTGTGTGTGTGTGTGTGTGTGTGTGTGTGTGTGTGTGTGTGTGTGTGTGTGTGTGTGTGTGTGTGTGTGTGTGTGTGTGTGTGTGTGTGTGTGTGTGTGTGTGTGTGTGTGTGTGTGTGTGTGTGTGTGTGTGTGTGTGTGTGTCCGGTGGCTTCTTCGATCCGTACAAAGACACAGAGACTGTTGGATGCCAAAAATGAGCTGATGAGGTGAGAGGCGGTTCAGATGCACCAACACATCAGTTTTCATTCTGATTCCTGTTAAATGTTATAGTCTAAAAGATTACAAATATTCCCTTTGAAAGAATCTAGTAATAAAAACCGTTAACCGTCGACAGTGAGGTCCATAATTTGCACATAAATGTATTTTCAGTGATATTTTCTAAAGTCAGCTCTTTTTTTAATTCTTATCTAAGTCTGTTTTTTGTTCATTTCAAATACTGAAAAAAGTATTTTTAAATGTTTTGGTGGAATCAAACGGATCCCACTTACCCTACGACGACAAAAAGACATGGTCACGGTATAGAAAATAAAGATATGATTAGTAACTTTAATGCATATGATTGATTTAAATATTTCAACATAAAAATAATCCTGTATAAATGGATATAACAGGGGAAATAAAATACAGAAAAATACATTTGTAATAAAAACTGAAACGGGGTGAAACCTATGTTCTTTAAACTACCTTTACTTCCTGTTAAGGTTACTTCCATCCTTAACTCACAATGACTCCTCTTTTGATTGGTCAGGGGGGAGAGGCAGGTGTTTTTGCTGCAAAAGGAGAAATCTGAACTTAAAGCACGACTAGCTGATCTGAGACGAGGCCAAGCCTTCCTGCACGACATCAGAGAGCTCAACACACAATACCTGGACTACCGACACAAACACCCCAAAGAAAAAGAGATGGTATACACACAACTTTAGCAAATCAACCTACATTTATTTTAATTGATGTTTTTTAAAGCATTTTAGAGGGGCCCCATTATGCTTTTTGGATGTTTCTCTTTCCTGTAGTGTGTTATATCGATTTCTCTGCTTGTAAATGGTCTGCAAAGGCTAAAATGTTAACTTCTCTCTTCGGCCCCCCCCCCTGCATGAAACGCCTCCATTAGACTTCTTTCTTACTTCTTTAACATAGTGACATCACTACGTAACACTTCCATTTCTATTGGCTAGCGCACCGACACATTGTATGTGATAGGCTAAGGCCACGTTTACACGGAGACGAAAACGAACCGATGTCGATATCAAAAAAGTCTACACGTCCACACGGAATCGGCTCAAGAAACGTGTCCGTCCACTAGGGCTGTGCATCTTCACTGGTCTCACGATTCGATTACGATTATCCTGTCAACGATTCGATTCAATTCGATATCCCGATGCATCACGATTCATACCAATGCGTAGCATCCTCAATTTTCTATATTACTGCACATGGCTTATTTTTCATCAATGCATACATGCAGTAAATACATATGAACTCTCTTTTTATTATTTAGAAAGTGCTTCAGAAATCAATAACATAAATGTCTTGACATTAATTTATAAACCAAAATAAATGAATTGTATAGGTCTAGCCTCCCTATATCTGTGTGTGAAGTTGTTCCATCCTCAAAAACAAAAAAATAATGCTTCTGCAGTCAAGCTGCAGCTTCTAGCAACGGCCTTCTGTTAAAGAAAGGACACTGAATGTCCTGAATGTGGCATCACACACAGGACTTGAGTCTGAACACAGCAGACAACAGGAGTATTTACAACAGCATATAACAACTAAAATACTGCATGTGGGTGCACACTTACATTCTCTGTCTTACTGTTACATAAATCCCATGAATGTATGGGATTAAGTTAGCTTCATTATATCTCAGTGATTAAGTGAATAATAAAGTTTCTATCGGGTCACTATCAGCCTGTCACTCATTATTTTCAGGGCGGGGTTTGGAGGAACAGAGGAGACTGTGATCGCGGAAGCTTTTTTCCTCCTGCCTTCACAAACTTTACACACATATATATCGTCTGAAAATTGCTAGAGGACATTCATACTTTGAAATCCAAGACTTAATTAAATCCACCAAAAACCTGACATTATTGTAACGCGATTATTTTTGAAAAACATAAATCCCTGTGCCGCAGCGACACGGAGTGATTCAGAGCGGGTCCTTCCTGCTGTTGGTTCTGGACTGGTGTTCTTGTGTTGGTGGATAAAGCAGACTGCTCCGTGTTTGGTGTTGCTGTGCCGCTGTCACGTCTGTTCCCTGATCTCTGCGTCACCGACCAATTTGATATTAAAGTGACAGAAAAAAAACCGTTATAGTAAAGCCGCGGCCAGAAAATCAGGAAGCAACGTTACTACGCTATAATCGATTATCTTCCGTCACTGCATCGATACCGAATCGTCCACGTCCGCATCGCAATGCATCGTAGAAACGATTATTTTCAACACCCCTACCGTCCACACGAGACCGCTCGACTCGCTGGAGACGCTATAGTACATATGCCTGGCCTGTAAGTGGCGCTGTACTTCCGCCACAAAGCAGCGAAGAAGACCCCCGAGCATGGTTGCCATGGTTTCCCTTCTGTTTATTCTCCGCGGTGGATTTAGCAACATGTAGTTCTCCATGTCCACTTGTTGCTGATGGTTGTGGTAGAGGAGCTGTAGATGTTTGCACTAACATCTGTAGCATGGTCAGTAGCGTCTGGAGCACGAAAGCAACGGTGTGATCCGCCATTGTTGTTGGCGAAACACATGACGCAGGGGTGAGCAGCAGAGGTGGGGAGAGGTGGGGCTATGGCGTCATCGTTATCAGGAAATGATCGTATAGGACGTACACACAGCCGTTTGGCCCCCCAGAGCGTTTTGTCCGCAGATCTACCCACCTTGGGAGCTGTTATCGTTTGAGACCTCCTTTTCCGCGGTTCCTTTACGGCCTCGTGTGGACGAACCGTCCACACGATAGAGAACTGTAGTGGATACAACCCGTTTAGTCTCTGTGTAAACGTGGCCTAAGTGGTAGGACATCTCTAAGCGGTTGACCAATTACAACAGAGCCAGTCAGCTAACCAATCAGTTTCAGACAGAGGGTGAAAAGAGGTGCTGCAGTATGAGAAAAATAAAGAGATTTTTCAACATTAAAGCATGGAGACATTTCACAGTAGAGGCACAAAATACAAATGTGAGCATAACAGGGCCCCTTTTAATATAACTGACTGACACTCCTTTCCTTCTTCCCCCTCTCCTGCAGTATGGTGCCTCCAGCTTGCCAGCTCTGCTATTAGAGGCCAAGAGTATTCAGGCAGAAGAACTTCAGCCAAAAGGAAACAATGAAGAAGAACAAAACTAAGAAATAATGCACTATACCCCACACACAGACATTTCTTAAACCAGTAAATGGAAAAGCGACATTATTTATTTTTGTGTTTATACGATTATTTAGTTTGGCCACTTGTGGAGATAAATGTAACGGTGGGAGACAGAAGGAAGGAAACGTAGAGGATCCCCAGATCGAAATATAATCTTGTTCGGTAACCTTACTAATCACATTAAAATACCTTGAACCACTTGCAGGAAGTTTTGGTTATGTGGTTTACTGGTTTTGTGTTCAAAGTCATGTTTTAATTCTTCTAAATCATCTTTAAATGTAAATGTTACAGTACCCTACATTTAAAGTGTTACTCCATCCAAAATAAAAAAACAGACATTTCTCCAGAACTTCTCTTTCTTAGAGCTGAATGCCTACTCCAATAGAAAATTCTAAATTGAGAAAAAATACTGGATTTAGATTTTGGGTAGTACGAACCTTCCTTCTATTGCATGTCGTGTTTGATAGTTATATTGAGCATACTGCGCTATAAACCTCTGTGATAATATACAGTATGTGGTAAGTGCATCACTGTAATATTTCTGACAAAATGTAACAACATATAAGTGGACCTCTGTCTGACACTTAACCATTTCAGTGTCTCCAGCATTTCAGTTACTCTGGTTCTGTAGGAGCACTGCAGTGCACATCGTGCTGCCTTATTTTGTGCTACTTGTAATTTGTATAAGTCTTTTTCTGCAGCACTAGACCAAATAACCAAACAATAATCAAGCTGCAACAGAACCAATGCATCCAAAACCTGTCTAGTGGCAAATATTTGACAAGTGACACACCCCTTCCCATTTTACATACATATTATGAGAAAACTCAAAAATAATGATTTAATTTCTTAAAATACTAACACAGTATTCCGAGAAAGTCTCATTATATCGACAAGATATTTTCCTTTCATCACATTGGTGTAGATACACCCATTCTTGCCTACACACAAGCAAGGCAAGAATGGTTACGCACAACAAGACAATAAAATTAATCACATGCAATTTAACAATAATTTCTTAAATCAAAATGCGAAAGATATGTCCCTTGAAATCCTGAATCTAAAAGTTTGAAATCTACAAACCACATTAGTTGAAGCTAAGTAAACAGAAACAG